CATCCTATAGAGGAGTGGAATAAGATAAAAATTTTCTTTCATCTAAGACTTCTAATATCAAGTCGTGGAATCAACTAATCATACATACATGAATAAAAAGCATGAGTAAAAGATTATCTCTTATAGCATAAATTTAGCCTTTGTATAAATGAGTCATCCACGTGTCCAGCCTCTATCAATAAACAATACAACTTAGACCCACAAAGGAAGCTACGAAACCATAGAGTGCTAGCTCCAATCTTTTTGTATAGTTAATTTGCTTTCTAAAAAAATCAGTTATGGATTTTTACATCAACTCAAGCTTTTAAAGAGGGATACGAAAACTTAGTCTTTTTGGGAGAGCAACACTTTCTCATCTTTTTTTTCCTATGTGTGTGTTTTTCTTAACCTCCTCCTTTTCACCTCTCTCTCCTTTATTTATATAGGGGGTTGCATCCTTTTCCTCTAAGGAGTTGTAACATGTATGGGCTTCTTATTTGATCTTATCCTTGTAAACCCCGAGCCTTACCCAAAAGGGCTCAAGTTTATCCTCCTAGCAAATATCTTGTAGGTTTTAAAATTAAGCCTATTGCCCCAAACTCTTTTGGTTCAATAGGTAAGCTACCTTCTTTATCTTTTAAACTTTTACATTATTTCACAGAGTCATGATGGTCGTTGTATATTTGAAACTTCTAATAGATTTTGTATGTTTTTAGGATGCACTTGGTTCTTATAAGTGGTAATTATAGTGTCAACGACAATGGTCCTTCACCATTCGAGCCTAATGGATTTGAATCATTTTTTGTATGTCATTTCTTTTCCTATGTGTTAAGGGTTCCATATACCTAGTTCAATCCGATGGTCATGTTATTCATACTATATCCAATAGCATAGAAATGCATGTGCGGGAGCACTCACAAAACCATATATTTGGATATCCTAAAGAGATGTCATTTTTTTAACTCACATATCCAAGGCTCTTAGAAAGGATGTCATTCTTTATGTCATTATATAGTGAGAATCTATTAAGGAATACATTCTCGAAATGAAAAATATTTACTAAAATTTTCAATTTGACAGAGTGAACATCAACACATTTAGCTTCAAAGTGTTGAACCAAATAAATATTCAAGTTCTTCATAAAATAACATGTAGATTCATTTGGCCAGCTAGCATCATTTCCATATGCTTGTTGGACTATTTATTAGTATTATTTTGCAATGAGGTCTCTTATGGGAAAATACCTTTTGTAGTATCTTTCAATGGCATCTACTTTCCTTATTAAAGGTTTAACAATAACACATGTCACGATTCAACAAGGTATTTTCATTCTTGGGCTTGGTTTGTAACAAACATTATTTTTTACCATTTTTTTGTTCTTTTCAAATCCAATGTTTCTTAAGAAGAGTTAACATTCTATCTTGTTATGTAATAGAGAGACAAAATACACAAGCAGTATCTATCTACTATGATCTAGGCTAGAGTGATTGTTAGGGTAATGGCAATTGTTAAAGCTAACGGAAGGCGAGTTTTGTTCTAGGCCTTGCTTATGTGGCCTTATATAATTTCTAAAGCATTTATACTTTGCATTTGAGAAACATGTACATAATATATTATCTTGTAGTTCACATGAAATAATTTTGAATATTCTTTATTCTAATTATTGTTTTGCATATCATAAAGGATACATAATTCTTCTAATAGAGTAGAAAAAATAATATAGGAAAATCAGTCATTTGAGCAATTATCCTGGATCTTGTTTGACTCCTTCCATCCATGCCTAAAAAAAAATTAATTACCTGTAGATTCTTTTCTATTCTTGGAAAATTAAAATCAAGGGAGCCGATAGGAAAGCAAAGAGGCCTAATTGGCATTTTAAATTCTATCAAAAAGATGTATTATCACATTCAAATTGTCAAACAAGAAAACAAGATGATTAATTATGTAAATTTCCGTGTTCATTATGTTCTCTTGTCAATAATTACATATTTCTATTGTTGGCACTTAGGAGCTCTCAATCACTTTAATTCATCATGTACTTTGATTGCATATTTGATAGCGTGTTTCAAATTTTTTACTTTGTAATTTTTTTCAAGTTAGCTCTTCCAATGGTAATGTTTTTGTAATAGAGAATTAGAGAAGAGAAACAATTGACTAAAGACTTTAGAGTCCTCCCTTAAAGTTCCTCTTGGTTCGTGTAGTTTGCGTTAGTATTGATGACCAAGATCCAACCATGTTTGGATGGGCCCAATTAATGTATTATTGCATCGTTTAATAAAGAAGTCATTCTATTAACTCTTATGTTTACATGTTGATAAATTCATCGAGTTAGATAGAAGTCTTTCCGATATGCATTTGTAATAGTGATTGATCGAAAGATGTGAGACAAATACTAATACACATAAATGATATCATTAAATATCCCAAGTTGTAGCATTGTTGAGAATGGATAGTGACAATATGCGAAAAGACTTATAAGTGCTATGCTCATGCTATACGATAATAGTAGGAGATCTCACACCTATTGGCATGGTGATGCCAAAGCAAGCACTTACGTGATTTATGTTAGAGAACATATCACTAAACTTGACTCGCCATGAGAACTCATTTGGTTTTAGTCTATGAGAATCTCATACGAAATGAGTACAAATGGTCCTTAGACTTGAAGTCATCACGGTTATCTCATTAGAGGACTTATGCATTTTGACACTCGTTTCGATGGATCCATTAATGAGTTGCACGTGGGCAATTTATTGGGTGCACTATGAACGAAGATAGGTGTATGACTAAGATAGGACATGTAATTCCTTGTATGCTAAAGAAGTTATCACATTGCACTTCGATTAATGTCCGCTCAAGAAATATGCGGCCACGGTATGAAAAAGGAGTTATCATATTCTATCTTGTTACGCAACTTTTGGATGTAAAAAAGTCTCTCAAATAGATGCATCATTCGCTGCTCGTCGTTGATGAAAAAGAGGGACAACTATCTTCCGTTGTCGAGTCACAATGTTGTTGGCGGCTCCTCTCCTTTTTTCTTTTGGTCATTTTTATTTCCTTTTCACTCTATCTTCTTCCTCGCTTACTAGGCCTAATAATGCTTCGGTTTAGCTCTCTAAACTCTCTCAAAAACTATCCTTTCTTCCTTTTTTTTTTTTTCCTTCTCCCTTTTTTTCTTGTTTGGTAGAATCTTTTTGCCTCTTATAGAGCTCAAGGCAACAACTAATAAAAGCCATCAAGGATTCATGTCAAACGTTCATCACAATGGGATTAATATTGGCCCTTTGTTCTAATGGTAGTATCAAATAAGGGAAGGACAACATGCTTCCGGTATGGTTTGATTGGCTTTTTGGTTGGATATTGCAGCAGTTTCTAGGGCTTGGCGTAGCGAGTTTTGAGCTGAATCTATATTACACTTTCGGAAAAGAGAGTGTAGTTCTTTTGGCTGGACATGGTGGAGGTTTTAAGGGGTAAAAGTGGTTGTCTTGTAGGCGAAAAACAAAGACAGAAGGTTGGAAAAGAGAGAGAGAAGGGTAATCAAAACGACATCGTTTTGATGGTTAAACATTTAAATTCATCCTCTCGGTTTTGATATTTTTCTAATCTGGTCCTTTTTTATTGTTTTCGAAACACTCCCAAACCGGGATTCCTTTTTTTTGTTTCGGTCTCCATTCTTTTTATTTTTCTTCAATTATGTCATGATTTTCAATTATCATTGTCCTTTTCCATTTTTGTTTTTTCTTTTCTTTTCTTTTTTCTTAATTTTTTTCATGAGATTTTTGTTTCTTTTCTGGATCTTTTGAGTCTGACTTTTTTTTTTCTCTTTTTGTTCTTGCTCTTTCCATTATTATTATTGATCTCCTATTGTTCAAAATTTCTGTTCACTTTTCTTCGATGTTTTGAACCCTTTTTTTCTTTTTCGATGATTTTTCCTGATGGTTTTCCAACTCTTTCTCTTCTTCTTTGTTCTTTTCAGTTTTTTTCTCTTTTTATTTTTCCCGAAGAAATTAAGAAAGATACGGCATGCTCTAAATTTTGGGAATTTACCAAGATGTCTAAAACTCCTGCAAAATCAAGAAAAATGTGCAACACAAGAATTTTTGAAATTTCTAATTATATGAATGATTTTTTTTCTTTTTTTGCTAGTTTAATGAGGAATTAAAAATAGTTTATGACACTTTGTTTTGGTTTAAAATTTCTATTTGAAATCCAAAGTTCAACGATGGATTCGAGTTCGTTCTTCTGATTCCATTGTTTAAGAAAGACTTTGGTAAATAATTTATTAGCCTGTTGGTAAGTGACGAAAATCATTCTCCTTTACGCTTCTAAAATGTCTTGAATGGCGCTGAAATTTCTGTTTTGACTTTTAAAATCACCCTAATTAAGCTTCTGGTTGAAAGGAGGATGAGATCAAAACTCAAAGTTGAATTCTGGGTTCTTGTGTCTTTTTCAGACTAGAAAAAGAACAATAAAGGATGGATGGACATAACATGCCGATCACACAAGTTTGTAGGTCCAGGACTGAATAGCGAGAAGGCGAGTGCCCAAGGCAACTGCACAAAGCAACTCTCCTTGTCCTAAATAATTATGTATTCGAAATTTCAGAAAGAAAATTTACCTACTGGAGATTGCAAAATCATTGATACAGACAAGAATCAAATTATAATAAAGAAGGCACGAAAATTTGATTAAGACTAATATTTTGAGATTTAAAATGAAAAACAATATTGCTTCACAGCAATCATGCATGGAAGAAACTTCCAATTCTCACCTAGATCTTTATCTTAAGCAAGAATACACGTAAACTTTTACCGCAAGCACAAAAGTTCACAAACTACAACAACGTCAATATATATTAACACTTACTTCATTATAAGCAAAATATGCATAAAATACACCAACTGCAAACCTTGGTTACCAAAGCTACAATTTCATCTTTATTGCACGATTCAGTCATTCATGATGATACCTCAATTGCCGATGTGGCCGAGAAAACATAAAACATAATTCACTAAGCTATATCATTTCAGTTCTGCTAAATTCTCAAAACTGGTATTTGACCTGACTCTGTACTCCGCGACGAGTTGTGCGAATGACGATGATTTGTTCTCTAACAATCTTGCTGGAGAATCAAATTCCTCAATGAGCCCTGCAAACGCGTACGATAGCAAATGCTTTAGAAACTTGACCATCACCAGAATTTCTAGGTGCAGTTACAACATGTTTCCTTACTCACCATGATTCAGAAGCAAAACCATGTCACTATCAAGAACAGAAGTTATCCGATGTGCAATGGTTATAACCGTACAATGAGAGAAGTGCTGCCTTAAAGTTTGCTGAATTAGATTATCAGTGGATGTGTCAACTGAGGCAGTAGCTTCATCCAGGACCAACACCTTACTTTTCTTCAGTAGTACACGCCCGAGACAGACTAGCTGCCTCTGACCCATACTCCAGTTCTCTCCATTCTCAATCACTGCAGCAACACATGACCATTTTCAACGTACATAAACCCAAACTTTACAAAGATACGCATACAGATTGTAAAGCAGTGGGTAGTGAGAAAGACAAACCTGTGGAGTCTAACTTCTTTTCCTTTTTCCTAACTTCATCTCCAAGTTGGCACTTATCCAGAGCCTAGAACCATTAAAAACTCAAGTGAGCAAGTGTGGCATCCGTCAATTACCAACTCTAAAAGCACTGCAAATCAATTCTAAGAACACACACACACACATGCAAACATATGTAAATAACTATATATATATATATATATATATATACACCTCCCAAATCTGTTCATCCGTGTACTCTTCAAGCGGATCCAGATTGCTTCGTACAGTCCCTTCAAACATGGTTGGATCTTGAGGAATAATGCTTAGTCTTGACCTCAAGTCATGCAGTCCAATCAGTGAGATATCAATACCATCAATCATAACGCGACCATCTGCAGGTTCGACAATGCGGAAAAGAGTCTGTATGAGAGTTGTTTTGCCACTGCCGGTCCTCCCTACAATCCCAGTTTTCATCCCTCCTGGGAAAGTGCATGTGAGACCACGCAGAACAAGTGGCATATGTGGGGCATACCGAACCTTCATAACACCACAATCATTAATAAAAATTAGCACTTAACAATTGGAGCAATCATTGGAGAAAAGAAACTAAAATTACCTGCAGATTATTAATATCAACTTCTCCATGTGATGGCCAAGAAGAGTTTGGCCTGCTTGCTTCTATTACGAGAGGAGGCTCGCTAGGAATGGACATGTACTGAAGAATCCTCTCTACTGATATGATTTTGTTCTCACAGCTGCATAAATTCCATATCACCCAAGCTTGTAACATGTTTAGGTTGAGTCCATATGTCACAGCTAATCCCGCAATGGCTTTAGAAAAAGAAAGGAAAAAGGAAAAGGTTCTTTCAGGTTTAGCAAATAATTGTCAATGATAAGAAGAAGGAAAAAAACAAAGAAAATAAACAGAGACAGATACACGAAATGAACTACATACCTGGATCAATTCCCTTCGGGAAAGAGACTAAGAAAACCAAAGAGAAAGCAAACGTAATAGAAGAGAACATATCAAGCCGGAAGCAAAGCCATTCCATTGCAGCAGCAACATGAAATTTTGGACGAGAATATGCATCTGTAACTTTCATATTTGTTTCTTGGAATCTTGATTGTTGATCAAAGCTCCTGATAGTTGCTGCTCCTGAAATTGTTTCAGCAAAATGTTGGATGACTGGAGCTTTGCATATTCCAACCAACCTTGAAAGTTCTCTTGCTGAAGGTATATAATATTGCTGCACAAATTATGAAACCTGTTAGAAACCATCGGTTCCTGAATGTTAAACAATAAAGATGTGAAGGAATGGCTGCATCTACTTGAATGCCATTGAACTTTATCCAATAAAATTTCATTTGAATTCAAGATCGTAGGAAGACGAAAAGGGCCAATTAAGAGATGATAACTGAAGAAATATTGTAAACTGAAGTAGAACTTAGTTTATATAATAGGAGTTTGAAGAAATCACAAACATCACCTGATACCAGATGCAGGCAGCAATGACAGGGATGAAAACAATAAAAACTTGCCAAGCCACCAGAGACATGACTGCAATGATTCCCAGAAGTTGAATGGATGAGAAGGCAAGTGCTGCAACTTGATATGGAATTTGTGTTTCGACTGCACTTTGATCTGTAGAAGCCTGTAATAGAAGAAATAGTGAATAAAGTGAAACAAGTAAACTCGGTATCTTTTCTTTTGAGTCAATTTTGATCAGTAAATTAAAGAGCATGCGACCAACAGAAAGTACATACTCTGTTTAGGATTCGTCCGCTAGGAGTTGCATCAAAAAAGGACATAGGGGCACGAAAAATGCACAGATGCATTTTATTGAATAGTAGAGTTGCAGTTTTATATCCTGCTGTTACAAGAAGTGTGGTTCTAGCGAGGATGCAAAAAGAACTTCCAATTGCCAAGCATACATAGACTATTATTAGAGTAGATGCACTGACAACAGGTTTCATATCCTTTGAGACAGGAGTTGCCCATGCCATCCAATAATTGCTACCAATTTGAAGGATCTGAAAGAGAATCTGAGCCAACAATATGAAGGGCACAAGAGCTCCTCCATATGCTGTTGTGATATACTTCCAGTAGATAGGAAACCCAACGCTACCTTTCTCTCTTTCTTCTTCTTGAATGAGCTGTGCTTTTGGCCCTGCTACCTGATCTTCTTTACCATTTTGAGAATCCCTATTTCCTTCTTTCTGCACTATCTCATCCCTACTACCATTTTCCTTTCCAACAATTTCATTTTCAGAAGCCGGTCCTGCTTGTTTGGAATCAAGTGCTGATAAAGCTGCCTTATGTGCACCAACAAGTTCCATGAAATCAGATCCTGAATTGAGGATGTCATCATATTTTCCAGATTGTGTGATCCTTCCATCTTTCATGACCTAAGCAGAAGGTGTAAGTAGAATCAAATGATTTCATCAGGCGAAATGATAATCCAGATGCAATGAAGAAAAGAGGCGTGCATACTCACCAAAATTAGATCAGCAGCAGGTAAGAACTCGACTTGATGAGTAACATAAATAACAGTTTTTGAACTCAAAAGACCAAGCAAAACATCCTGTCATGCAAAATAAAAGAAATATATTTTATGAGAAATGGATGAAGAGAGGGAAAATGAATGTAACAATCAAAATGCAAAGCAGACCACCGGGTGGTTTCACCAGTGGATTAGTGTCTATATTCCCACAGAAACTACAAACAAAAGTTAGCATTCAATACAAAGAATGGTATTAAGAAAGATGAGAAATTTCACCTTAAATAAATGAGATCCAGTATGAGCATCTACAGCACTGAAAGGGTCATCAAATAGATAGATATCAGCGTCTTGGTACAGAGCCCGTGCTATTTGAATTCTTTGCTTCTGCCCACCGCTTAAGTTGATTCCCCTCTCACCAATAATGGTTTGATCACCAAATGAGAGAATTTCAAGGTCCTTCTTTAAGGAACATGCTTCCAGTACCCTTTCATATCTCACTCTGTCCATCTCCTTACCAAACAATATATTTTCTTCAATCTTGCCGCTCTGTATCCAGGGAGACTGAGCAACATAGGCTTTTGTCCCACATAACTTGAGAGTCCCTGAGATCTGGGGTACTTCTCCTAAAATGCAGGAAAGTAAGCTTGACTTGCCAGAACCAACTGTACCGCAAACAGCAACTCTCATACCATGGAGCACTTTGAAGTTTATATTTTTTAATGTTGCACCAGGCGAAGACACATCCCAATAGAAATTCCCATCTACAATTTCAACTGCTGTATCAGAACTGCCTATTGGAAGCTTCTCCAACACATCATGCTTCAAGTCATCAAGACTAACGAAAGATGCAATTCTGTCCAGGGAAACCTTGGTCTGAACTATCATAGAGATAGTATCAGGAAGATTATAGATAGGCTCTTGAAGAATCCTAAATGTTGCAAGTGCAGATAAGATCTTCCCTGATTCAAGAGGGATTCCAATAAGCATACAAGTACCAAAAGTGGCCACAGCCACAAGACTAGGAGCACCCCAGAAGACAAACGTCATCATTGCGGAACTATAAAAATATTTCTTCAACCATCCTGTCTCTACTTCCCTGAGCTCAAAAATCTTAGACAAAAACTTCATTTCCCACGCCTGCAGCTTGAGAATTCTCATATTCCTTAAAATCTCAGTGGTAGCCTTCATTCTTTTATCTTTTGATTGCATTAACTTCTCTTGAAAATGCTCTTGCAATCTCCCCAGTGGATAGTTTAACAACATGACAATTATTGTTGCAACAAAAGTAGAAACCGTTGCAAGTCCCAGATTTTTGTACAGTATCAGCAAGGCCAAACCAACTTGCAAGATGACCAACCACGGATCATGCATGTACCAACTAAAATCACTAATTCTCTCTGCATCAACCGTCATGATATTGATGATTTCCCCACTAGTCTGGCCCTGCTTTGACTGACTAGAAAGGGTTAGAGCCTTGTTGTAAATCATCGTGGTTGCTACAGCACGGAGCCTGATTCCAATTTGCTGCAACCTAAAGAACCAGTGCCTCTGTGAGAGGCACTCTACAACCTTGGCAACAAAAAAGGTCGAAGCTAAAATATATCCCTGATTTTTGTATTCTCCTCGCCCATCAAGGCATTGAACAAAAGAGTCGATAAGGTAGGGGCCAACATAAGAAGCTGAGGTGTATATTATTGCCAACAAAGCTGTCAATAGAATTTCTTTCCAAGCTGACAAGAACAATGCCTTGACGAGCTTGAAAGCCGTAACTCTATTAGCAGCACCCCTATCTGACTCAAGCTTATTTTTAAAAACTGGGAATGCTCCAACTACACTATCAACAATGTGAAGTTGAGGAACATCTTCAAGGTCTAGAGTTTTCTTATTGCCGAAAGCAACAAGAGAACCCATCCAGGAGAAGGTAAGAATACTGAAAAGACCAGCATTTGCATAAGGAGTCGCACTGTCACCTCCTCTAGACTTACTTGACTCTAAACCATTAATTGAAATAGAATCACCATTTAAAAAGGGTTGTTCGAGAAGAGTATCTTGACTCCCATTTCTCGAGAACCCCACGTAACATAGAAACAAACCAGTGAAAACAGAGAATATATCAGATACTAAATATTGTATCTCCAAGGATCCATGTTTTTGATAAAGAAGAAAATCTACAACAAGGCAATAACAAGAAATTGAGAAATAAAAAGCCCACCAGAGTCTCAAGAAAAAAGGGAAGTTTCTTTCACCTGAATTGAAGAATTGGGTGTGCAAATAGACAGAAAGTGCAGCCCAAGAGAGTGTTGTAAGCACAAAATCTAAAAGGGTCACTAGTTTGTCATCAGACCAACCATTTGTATACCAATAAAAGTAGGTTGATAAAGACAAGGCAAGATTAAGCAATGAAACAGCCCAACAACAGAAGAGAGTCTGTTTGTACCACAAAAACCTCTTGTTATTAGTAAACCTCTGTTTAGAAAGCTGATGAGCAGCACCCAGCCTGAGTTTGTTAAAGACAAAGGAGACAGTGAGAGCAAGTAACAAAACAAATTGCAATGAAGCAGCAAAGCCACGGAGGAAAATGGGTTTAAGGAGGAAAAGAGTAGATGAAAAGATGAAGGAAGACGAGTTTAAGAGAGCAAAAAGTGGCATAGTTTTTTAGAGGTTTTGTTTGATGAGGTTTTTGTGAGTTGGGGTTGGTTGTTTCGATTTGCCGATCAACAAGAAGAAGGCTTTCCGTATCTTTTCTGTTTGTTTCTATAGTGCGAGTGGGTGCGTGCTATATATAGACAGAAAAAGGCTGGTCAAAAATAGAGAGGCGAGAGAGTCAGAGATGGATTGGAAACGTAGGGAGCAAGACTAAGCACCCGGAGTAGGACAGAGCTGAGAAGCAAGAAGGAAAAGAGGGAGCAACAAAACAAAATAAAAGAAAAGGCCAAAAAAGTATGACATGTTTTACCAAGAAGAGCGTGGACTGAGAGAGTGATTGGGTAAAAAAAAAATTCGTAGGTTATTTATTTATTTACTAAAGGCTAAAATATCTTCAATTCTTTGTCAACCGAAAAAAAAATTAATTTTGATTTGAATTTTAAATTCTTGTTAGTTCTTTGTTTTAAAATTTTCAAGACGCTTATAGATTTTAAGATATGTGGTGTTGTTCCAACAAAACAAATCTTACTTACCCACTAAAAATAAATTCAAAATCCAAATAAATTTTTTCCCCTTTTCTTTTAACTAAAATTTCATGGCCATTATTTAAAGGAGAAAGTGACAGAGAAAGGATTGAGTGATTTCAGCAAAGCCTCCAAACTCCAAGCGGACTTGCAATTTTTTATCCAATCTTGTGGTTCAAAATGGATAAGGTCATGTTAGACATTAAACTACAAATATTAGGTATGATCAAATTAAGAGAGAAGCCGTGAGTGAATCACCTAACTTTCCTTAGTTTTGACTCATTGCCTTGTTAGTTTCTTTGGTTCTTGAAGACCTTTTGCTGAGGGGATTTATCATAGAACTGTCGGACAATATGAAAAACAAAGCCAACATTAGTTGGTGGAGAGTAAATTATAAATTAGTCCTTTTATTTTTTTCAAAATGAATAAAATAGTCTCTTTAGTTTTAAAAACGAATTAATTAAATTTTATGTTTTTAAATTTATTTGTAATTTAATCCTTTTATGTTTTCTCAATTGATATTTATTTTTTCACTACAAAAAAATAGAGTTTAGCGATAGAATATTCCATCGCTAAACACCCCTATTCCGTCGTTATTTCTCTTGTCGCTAATTTTTTACAACGAAATTCTCGAGTCCTTCCCAATATTTAGCACAAAAAATCTGTCGCTAAACCAAAAAAAATCAGTCACTAATCTTGTCATCGGATCGGTCATTTTGTTCTTAACTAATCCATCGCTATTCCATTGCTAATTTTAAAAATTAATTCATCACTATTCCATCACTAATTTCAAAAACGAAATTGTCACTAATCCGTCGCTATTCCATCACTAATTTGGAAAATGATTTTTTCACAATTCCGTCGCTTTTATTGACATTTTTTGAAATTAAATTGTTAATATGACATTTAATAATAAACAATTATAAGTAATCATGTATATATGAAAAATAAAATAATATTAACAAAATCATTCTAGAAAACGTTCCATAAAAAACAACAAAACAAACAAAGTGATCGAATATTATATCACTTATCCCGCTCGTCTAATCCCATATCCTCATTCTCATACCGTGTGGAGGATTGACTGGAGGATCGACTAGAGACCGAACCGGAGGCCGAGTGGAAGGAACGATCAAATCATTATGCATGTTATCTTATTTCAATTTTAATAATTAAACTAATAAAATTACTTATAAAATTTACATTCAAAATGACTAAACTATGTCAAAAATTATATAATTTCAAACAAATTTAACTAAAATACATCAAAAATTATATAATTTCAAAATTAAGTTTAAACAAACAACTAACCAAATTAACATAACACTATATATATAATTTGCTTAATTAAAATAAAAATTTAATATTAAATAATTAAATTTTAATCTAACAACTAAAATTTAACAAAATTTAAATTTTTAAGGTTTACGTTAACATACAAATTAACCTAACAATTAACATAACAAAAAAATAAAACTTAACAAAATTAATATAACGAGTTATAAAAATAAAATAACAACTAACAAATTTAAGCTACTACATACAACTTAACATAACAAAAAAATTAACATAACAAGATAATGAACAACATTCAAACAATTAATAAACTAACAAATAACAAAATTTAACTAAAAATTTATAACAATTATCTAATTAAAAAAAACTATAAGAGTTAGAGAGAGAAAGTTTTACTCGATAGATCAAGGATAAAAAACATAGATCCGATCTAATTTTGAGGGAGAAAGATACCCCTCACTTTTTTGAATGGTTTTGAAAAAGATTTAATGGCGTGGGGCGACATGGATGGGCGTTTTTGTGAGCGGTGGCGAAAGAGGAGGTGTGGTGAAGGTGAGGAAAGCAAATGAAGAAGAAGAAGAAGGGGGTATATATAAAGGCAAAATAGTGACGGACTCGATTTTGTCGCTAATCCGTCGCTAATTAGCGATAGATTACGGGTCCGTTGCTAATTTAGGGAGAAATTTGTCTCAAATTCTCGAAGTTCGGCGACAAACATAAACGTCGGTAAGGTAATGACGAACTTGGCGTCTATCGCTACTCGACGGATTTTGGGGGAAATAAATCTCAACCCTTAGCGATGGACTTCAAGTCCATCACTAATTTTGGGCCATTTTAGGGGAATTTTCCCTCAAAAAGGCACAAATTAGCCACATACTTGATGTCCGTCGCTAATTAGTGACAGATTCCAAACTTTGTGCCTTTTTATGAGGAAATTCCCCTAAAATGACACAAAGTTAGCGAATCAAGCAACGGATATCAAGTCCGTCGCTAATTTTGGCGATGGATTCTAAAATCTATCACTAACTTCACTAAATTTCAAAAATTTTAGCAACGAAAAAAATTTCGTCTCTAATTTTTTCATTTAGCGACCACAAAGCCATCGCTAATTTTGATGCTTTTTTTCCCCGCCTTATTTAGCGATGGATTTTTTGCCGTCACTAATTATCCATCATTAATCCATCGCTAATCTATCATAAAATACAACCTTTTATAGTCCGTCTCTAATCTGTTGCTAATTTGTCGCTAATTTTTGTTGCTAATTGGTATTTTTTTGATAGTGTTTGTTTTAAAAAATAGAGAAAAAAAAACAAGTAAAAAAATTATGGAGATTGATGGAAGAGAAGGCACTTTTGGAAAAAAAAAATTACATTAACCATGGTCAATATTGGTTGAGAAACTAAGGTAAAAAATTTTTCGTATGTTATTTATCTATTTATTTACTATTACTTATATTAAAGGCTAAAATATCTTCAATTCTTTATCAACCGAAACAAAAGTTTTTATTTTTTTATTTTGATTTGAATATTAACTTCTTATTAGTTCTTTGTTTTAAAATTTTCTAGATGCTTATAGATTTTAAGATATGTTGTGTTGTTCCAACAAAAGAAATCTTACTTAGTGACTCGAAAATAAATTCAAAATCCAAATAATTTTTTTCCCTTTTTTTAATCTAAAATTTCATAGCCATTGTTACTAATACACTAAAAGGCATGAGGTTTTGAACAAGTGACAACACTCGTTCATCTCTTCATAATGTACTATTCACTCATGATTATTTTTTTTTTTTTTGTAATTTTGTTGTGGTCCTTAAAATTTTAATTCCTAACTAATGCACTACATGCATTTTTTTTCTTTGGTTTTTTTTCCTTTGCTCTTTTCCATCAATTTATGTTTTTTTTTTTTAATTTAATTGGGTGTTACCCTCATAATCTACTCTTTACTTTTAAGTTTTTCTTTTATATAATTTTCAAATTATTTTGTTTTGGCCCCTAAAATTTTAAAATAAAAATTTAAATCCTTAGCTCATGCACTACATGCCTTTTCTTTTCTTTTCTTTCTTTGTTTTTTTTCATCAATTTATGTTCTTTTTTTATTTAATTAGGTATTAAAATTTTTAAAAATCAATTGTTACGTTTTTCCATATAAATTAACAATTATATAATATATACTACTTTTATCATTTAAAATTGATCTTTTCGATTTATTATAAAAATTCTCATGAAGTTAATTTTTATTCTTATTTTTTATATAATTTTATTTATTGACAAATATAATTTATTTTCTCTATGTATGGATTCGAATAAGTTTTTTTTATATTTTTTTTATTTGCTTAATTTTGCTATAATCAAATTTTGAAAATGGAATATATGTATTTTGCTTTCTTATTCTTTATATAAAATTTTATTGAAATCAATTTTATAGTTTTTATTATGCTCTATTAACTTCAATATATATTTTATAATTTTTTTTTAAATATTTTTTTATTTATTTTATATATTCTCATCCATTGAGTACGGTGATAATGTATAAAAAATAATAATACTAGAGTTATTGATTTTATTAGAAATCAATTATATATCTACACACATAACACCAACTATTTGGTTTTATTTTTTATAAATTTTTTTAAATAAAATAATTAAAATAATATTTTAGAATAACCACTCAATAATTCAAATACAATTTTTTTATACTAATATTGTTCATTATTTTGTAAATAAATATATATAAATCGAATGTACATATTTTGAAAAATAATCTTCTCATCAATAAAAAAGCTTCATTTGTTAATTCTCATATAAGTTTTTATATTAATTATTACTTTATTTATTCGATACAATGTTAAAAAAAATATTAAGACTTTTTTAAAAAAAATTATTATGGGTTTTTATTTAGGAATAAATGTATAAGAAGAACAAAACATATTTTTTTTACTTTAAAATTTATTCAAAAAATAAAAAAAATGTATAGATACAAATTTTGATTAAAAATTATAACATTAGATGAAATTTTATCTTTTATATTTAATTTAATATATTTTACTTAACTAGCAACATAGTATATATTATCAAACTAAAATAAATATATTTTGTTCAGATCCGTAGCATAACATAGGAATCCAAATTGTTCATATGCCTAAAATTCTTATTCATTTATCGTTTATATACATAAAATTACTATTTACTTTATGGCAATTTAAGTAATTTTTATGTGTTTGTTTTTGTGTTTTTGGACATTAATATGCAAATTTAACACTTTTTTTTTCATCCCTCATGTTGTAACATTGTTTTTCAATTCTTAGCTTTCATTCTTTTTTTCATGTAGTGTGTGTGTGTGTGTGTTATCGTTTGATGTTTTAAAATTAACATATACTTCAGCTTATAATATTTTTATTATTTAAATTTTATTATTTGAATTTATCATTTTTTTTTATGAAACTTCTCATCCAATGAATATTTTTATATATAATTTTATTTATAGATAAATATAATTTATTTTACTCTATGTTTGAATTTTAGAATAAAATCTTAAAACATGATTGTATTTTCTTTTTTTAAAAATAAATTGGTATAATATATACATGAATTCTTTGAATTTTTAAATGATAGTTGCATATATATTTTTTTTCTAAAAGGTTAAAAATGTATTTCAAATAATTTGTTTTAGTTTACCATGTATGGTCAAGACATATATATAAAAAAAAACTATTGAATAATTATTGTTATTAAAAATTAATTATACATCTTCTAACATAATACAAATTATTTACTATGAATATTTTTTAACATTATACAACCAATTTATTTGAAATAAAATAATTAAAAAATTTTTTTAAGGGAACCAACCAATTATTCAAATACTTTTTTTATCCTAATTTTATTGATTATTTTGTAAATAAATACATATCTATCAAATGCATATACTTTTTAAAAAATAATTTTATCATCAACATTAAATAAGAATAAAATTTTATTTTTCCATTAGTTAATTTTTATACAAGTCTATACCTTAATTGTAACTTTATTTTTTTGATATATTCTTATAAAACAACATATTTTTAAAGTATTTATTTTTAAATCCTTAATTAATATTTCAAGTTTAAATTATTATAAGTTTTTATTGAAGAATATCTAAATAAAGAAGAATAAATCATTTTTTAAGTAGAAATTTTATGAAAAACACAAAAAAGTAATATTGATAAAACCTTAATGAAAAAATTATAAATTTTTTAAATGATTGTTTTCTATCTACCCACAGTGTTGAAGAAATAATTTCAAAACATTAATCTTCTCATCAACATTAAAAAAAAATTATTTTTTTATTTTTATAAAAATCTATCTATTAAATGTAACTTTATTTTTTAAAATATAATATTATATAAAATATATTTTTAAAGTTTTTTTTAATTCTCGACTAAAATTTTTATTAAAATTAATTCATAAAAAATAAAAAATTATGTTTTTTAAAATAAAAAATTTATAAACAAATATTAAAAAATAATTAAAAAATTTTAAAATGATTTTGTTGGATAGGAACTTTGACACGGCCGAGCAGTTAATTTAAACTGAAAAAAAGATTGAGAAAGGATCGAGTGATTTCAACAAAGCCTCCAAACTCTGGCGGACACGCCATCCAATCTTGTGGTTCAAAATGGATCAGGTCATGTCAGACATTAAACTCCAAATATTACGTATGATCAAATTAAACTCTAATCTCAACCGTCATTAATTTCACTGTCCCACCACCCTCTTCCTAAACGAGATGATCCCTCTCCGCTGCCAAGTCACCAGCCACATATTGATAAAACCTTCCTTTTTTTTTTTTTTTTTTAATGGATGTTCAAGAATAAAACAGTGTTTGATTGTTTTAAGGTGATTTTGCGGTGAAAGGTAGGAGAAACTGGAGGAGCTTAAGTGACGGGAAATGAGAGAATCCGGCATCGATGGTGGCTGGCAAAAGGCAAACCGGGTTGTTAAACGAATGCCAATCAACGAGAAGAGTTGTTGAAGATTTCGCAATATCGTCTGTCTTTCTCTTGGAAGACAAAAAGCTATAGGGTATGATTATGTTGGGTTTAATGGACTAAAAAGGATCTAGTTACTTTATTGATTTTGGCAAAGATAATACAAAACTAGAGGATGATTATATCGGGTCTAATTTGAATAATTAGATTTATATGGTTTGATTTATTATGAGTTTTTTTGTTCATAATTAATTTATTTTTTCGTTAATTTTGACTTTAAAGTTATGGAGAATCATGCGTCATGATTCTATTTTGTTCCAATTTTATTAAAATAAAAATAAAAAGTTTACTAAAAATTGAAAAAATCATAACAAATCCAGAAAAAAAAAGTCAAACAAAATTTGTTATTTCTTACTTGGAAAAAATCCTTTCAATCAATTTTTTTATTTATGTTCGAAAAATTATATATTTTATTTTAATAAGGAAAAAATAAAAAATTTATTAAAAATTGTTATCTTTTATTTATTTTTTCTGGATTATTTGTTTATTCAAGCTAGATTTTGTTTCTCTTTTAGTTTTTTTTTTTTTTTTTTTTTTGGGTCAAAAGCCAAAGAAAAACCTTAGAAAAGAAATAAATTTTATAAAAAAATTATTAAACGCATAAAATCAAAACTTTTATGAAAAATTATATCGGAAGGCATGAAGTACACATTTAAACCATAAGTGTAGTTCATCAATTAATCCATAATATGTTCTTTCATTGAATATTATTAGACCTTTTAATTTACAAGACCCTATGGTATTTGCTAATAAGCTTGAGATTAAAAAAATAATTAATTAATTAAAAACAATATATTCTTGTCAATTTTTTTACTTTTTAAATAAAATAGAAAATTTAAATTCTTAAAAAATAAATAGTAAATAAATAAAAATTTTGGTAAAAAATGATTATTATTTTTTATCTCAACCTAGTCCAGCTTTGAAAAAAAAAAAAAAAAAAAAAAGAAGAAAAAAAGGAAGAAAAATTGGGCTGGAAAGTGCTACCTATTTATATGTTTTTATGCTAAAAACAAATATGTCTACATGTTTTAGTCAATAATTAAAATTTTTGGACTTATGAATCGAGTCTATTCATGTTTCTTAATACACAATTAAAACTTTTTATCCATTTTAAAGCTTAACATATGTATGTTTCTTAGTCAATAATTAAAATTTTTACACAACGTTAAATTTTGACGTACAATAATATTCATAAATTTTATAATATCAAATAAAAAATAACAACAAATAAAAAACAACTCACTTCAAATAAAAAAAAATTATAACCAATGAAAAAATAATCATAACGAAACACAAACACACTATTATACTATGTTAAAATTTTCCAGGAGCGAAGCTAGGTTTTGGGAGATGGGTTGTGTTTTGGATGATGGGTGTGGATAATGATGAGTTTTGAATGTCGGTGTAGAGTCTTGAGTGGTGGTGGTCTGTGAAGGTTTCGAGAGAGAATGATTTTTAAGTTTTTGATGGATGAAAGAAATGAATGGTTCTCCCTCCTTTAGGTGAGAGAAAAATAGAATCTTTATAATGTAATTGTTAGGATTTTGAATATATATATATATATATCCAATTTTCCTTTCTCTTCTCCTTTTTTATCAATTCTTAAACTTTATCTCTTCATTTTCTCTTTAAACACTTTTTCAATTGGAATTATTTTCAGTTAAGCCTTCAATTAAATTTTTTTTTGTCCTAATTTCTTATATTTTTTAATTGGAGTCCAAATACCATCTTTTCTCGCTTATCTCTTTCTTCTTGTTTTTTCTTTCTCCTTTCTTTATTTTTGCTAATTCTTCTAAACTCACAAATCATGATATTCTTAAATTTTTTTTTAACCAAAAAGTAAAAATTTGTAAAAATAAAAAAATAGTAAGAAATTGGATGACAACAATTATGTAGCATATTTTTGAGTTTATTTACACAAAACTTGACAACCTATAAGTATTCACTTTCAATTTCATGATCATAGAAAAACAAATTCGACATCCTAAACTACATATAAATGTTATTGAGAATTTAAAGATAAAAATTCATACATGTCATATTAGAAACAAAATGTGTGAATATATTTTAAAATTAAAATACTAGAAATCTAACTCAATTATTATCATTATTATTTTAAAATATGATTCTTTACCCTATGGTTATGAGATCATTTACTAGTTATCCATTGGAGCTTGATCATATTCAAAATTTCAAGTCAAATACATTATATAGGTATGGCTAACAACTCCGAAAATGTTTAGATTTTTTAAGTACTTTATGGGAGCTAATTATTAATAGTTACACATAGCAGTTTTAATGGCATTAGAAGTTTTTATAGTATTTTTAATAAGAATATCATTGCGATTTTAAGCGAGGCTATGATTTAATCTCTTAAGTAGTAGAGATCCATAATCCGTCTATTTTTCTAATTTTGACTCTTAAAAGCATTAGAAGGACACATGTTAGAATTCTATTTATTCTAATTTCGGAAAAAAAATATTAACATCGACCACAACCCTCAAAACCCATTAAAAAAAAATCCCAACTAGCCACTCTACACCTACTATCGTCACTACTATTATCCAATCCCTATTTTTCACCACTCCAAGCCACCCAAGTAGCCTTTCCCTTATTGTTGTAACCCTTAAAATCTAGCCACCCTCACTATTGCAACTTCTAGGAACCTCCAAACCATCTAAAAAGCCATTTCTCTACCCAAAACCCACATCTCGGATTCGTTCCAATAGCCTTTTATTGTTGCCACTTGTCTAGCTCTTTCCTCTACCCTTAAACAACCACCAAACTCATAACCAATAGCCCTTCCAACGACCTTCTACTACTACCACTATCCGAGTAGCCTCCCACACCTCGAAACAACCTCAAAATAGCTACCATAGAACACTAGGATAGCCCCAAACTTGCTAGCCAAAACAACCCCAAAATCTCTCCAAAACCTTTCCAAACTAAACTTGAAACCCCCATCAAATAAACCCAAAATATCCTCGAAACCGTAAGTCTAAATTTCAACTAAAGAAAGATGATGATGATTTTGAATAATGGTTAGTAGATTTGGTTCAAAATACTCTTCAAATCTTAATTATGAGTAAATAAAGGAAGGAAGAAAAACTTGATTTCTTGGTGCTAACCTTCTCTCTTTGGTTGACAATATTATTTTTTCTTCATCGAAGGATGAATAAGGTGATACAAATAAGTAAGGGAGGAAGAAAGAAGAAAACCTTGACTTATAAGTGTTAACCTTCTCTCTCTAATTGACTACATCGTTTTATCTTCATTGAAGTGTTAAAGAAGTTAACATCATCTTTTCCTACTCTTTGAAGCCTTTTGGAGTAACTGGAAATGATTTCGATAAATTTTAGGATCAAACTTCCATCAAAGAGCATATTCATCATCCGGCCTAAAAAAGCTTGTTTTGGCATTCGTAAGAAAGTACTTCACTCATTTTGATCGATTAGAAAAGTTTCTAATGCATTTAAATCATTTTTATATTTTTGCTAAGTTTAAATATGAATAGATGAATGTTATGAATGAATGTGATGTTATAGATTACATATGATATTTAAAGTGTGATTAAGATACATTATTGTGTATGAGACCAAAAAGGATTTGAGACCCTAGGTATTTTGGGAGGATGGGATTAGGAGATAATCTCATGAATTATATAAAATGAGTGTCGACCTTGGTATGATATTGATTGTGTGATTAATTTGATCTAATTGCATGCAAATTGATTGGTATTGACGTTATCGGCTTGTTTTTCATCCATAAACGAATGTATGTGCAAATTGACTTGTGTTGCCATTGTCAACTTATTTTTTGTTTGTTAATGAATTATAAAAATGATATGTGTCATCTTCGATTTGACTTTTCATTGACGATTTTTGTAAAACCATGATTTGTGTCGTATTTAACCCTTTTCGTCAATGATTTTATGAAAAATTGATTTTTTTTTTGTCCTATTTTGTCAAATATTTTTTATTAAAACAAGATTTGTGTCATCTTCAATTTGTTTTGTCGATGATTTTGTGAAAAACTTAATTTGCATCATATTTGACTTGTTTTAATGATGACTTTATGAAAACCTAATTAGCATTGTCTTCGACCATTTTTCATCGACAACGTTCTAAAAACTTGTTATGTGTCATCTTTGACTAGTTTTATTTTTTATGATTTTGTAAAAATTGAACTTGTGTCTTCATTGAGGTTTTTTTCTTGGATGACTTTAAGATCTTGACTTATGTTGTTGACTTTATTTTTTTGTTAACGATTTTTTGATAAAAAGATTGATTTTGCCACTTTTAGATTGATTCTCATTCTGTATCAAACTAATTATAAAAATAATTTTATGTTGTCATTGTCGGATTAACTTGAGTTTTCCTAAAAAAATCTCAACTTCTAAGTTCGTGTTTACTTCAAAACCTTGACTTTTGAGTCCATGTTTTTTTTTTTTTTTTTGAATTATGTATTTGCTTTTTTGAAAATCATTACTTTGGATTTTGCATTGTTTTAATACCTTTATTTCTGATTTAATGTTGTTTTAAATTTTTTACTTTCTTTCTTGTGAAAGTTGCAAATTTTTAGTTTGCATCGTTTTAAAATCTTGACTTTTGAGTTCATCTTATTTTAAAATAATTTATTTTCTTCCATGTGAAATCACAACTTTTGAGTTTGTGTGGTTTTACATATAATTTTTTAAAAATTATTTATTTACTTTCCTCGTAAATCACGACTTTTGAGTTAGCCTCGTTTTGAAATTTTGACTTCTAAGTTCATGTTATTTTAAAATTATTTATTTTTTTCAGATGAAATTATAACTTTTGAGTTTGCATTATTTTAAAACCTTGACTTTTGAGTTCATATTATTTAAAAAAATTCCCTAAGAAATCACGACTTCTAAGTTCGCTTCATGTAAAAACCTTGACTTATGAGATCATGTTGTTTTAGAATCTTTTTTTTCCTGTAAAATATTGGTTATTGGTACTTTGTCTTTTCAAATTCATGGCTATTGGTTCCATGTTTTTTTTTTT